GCTTACAATCCATTATCATCATGGTACAACATGATGACATGCAGGTAGATATAGTGCTAGAGTTGAGATAGACATAGTTCCTTGATCCAAAAGGCAACAGAGGAGCTGGAGAGATGGCTCAATGGTTAAGAGCATTGGTTGCTCTTTCCAGAGGTCCTGAGTTCAATTCCCAGCAACCACATGGTGGTTCACATCTGTAATGAGATCTGGTGCCCTCTTCTGGCCTGCAGGCATACAGCAGACAGAACATTGTATACATAATAAATAAAAATCTAAAAAACAACAAACAAAAGGCAACAGAAGTAAACTGAGACATTGGGTGGTATCTTGAGCATATATGAGACCTCAAAGTCCACCTCTACAGTGACATACTTCCTCCAACAAGACCACACCTACTCCAACAAGGCCACACCTCCTAATAGTGCCACTCCCTTTGGGGGCTATTTTCTTTCAAACCTCCACAGATGGCTCAGCAGTTAAGAGCATTGCATGCCTTTAATCCCATCACTTGGGAGGCAGAGGCTGGTGGATCTCTGTGAGTTCAAGGCCAACCTGGTCTACAAGAGCTAGTTTCAAGACAGGCTCCAAAGCTACAGAGAAACCCTGTCTCGAGAAAACAAGAAAAAAAAAAGAGCATTTGCTGCTCTTGCAGAGGATTAAGGCTTGGTTCCCAGTACCCACATGTCAGCTCAAAGAATGAGACACCCTCTTCTGGCCTCCATGAACACTAGGCATGCACATGGTGAACATATATACATGCAGACAAAACACTACTGCACATAAAATGGAAAGAAATAAATCTTTGAAAAGAAACAGAAACGAAAACAACAAAAACAAAATCTAAAAGAACATCAGACACGAGACGTGCCAATAATTAAAAAGTAGTAGAGGAGCACCGGGCTGCTCTTCCAGAGGTCTGGCATTCAATTCCCACCACCCGCATGGTGGATAACAACCATCTGTAGTGAGATCTGATGCCTTCTTCTGGCATTAAGACATACATGCAGAGAGAGTATTCATATACATAAGAACAATAAATACATGTTTTTAAAAAGGTACTAGAGGAATTCTAGTCTGTAACATCTACAGCTACTGTGGACAGTAAACAGAGCCTAACCTCTGGCCAAATAAACACAAAAACCTTACACTAAAGACTGATTTCCTCAGTTCGTTTAATTCACATATCTTAAGTTCCACAGAAAATTACTTGGTACACTAAAAGAAAAACAAAACACACACACAATGTTTAAATTGGCAGAGCAAAGCATCAGAACCAGACTCAGATGTGGAAGACATAGTGGAATTATTATACTCAAAACTTTAAAACTATGGCCAATGTGCTCTGACTTCTAACAGGAAATGTGGACAAGGAATACGAACAGAGAGAGGAAATTCTAAGAAATAACCAAAGGAAACAGCACTGTTACAGGAACAGAGAGTGCCTAGTCTTCTCAACTGACTGAACCACCACTGAGCGTGAAAAAATAGCTGTCAATGGAAATATCCAAAACTAGGGCTTAGGATGTAACTCAGGTGGTTGAATACTTACCCAACTCGCATAAAACACCAGTACCTCGAAAGCCAAGAGTGCTGGTGAATACTGTAATCTCAGCACTTGGAAGGTAAGGGCAGGAGGTAAAGTTCAAGGACATCCTTGGCTCATAGCAAGTTTGAGGCTATTTTGACATAGCCTGGTGATGGTGGTGCACGCTTTTAATCACAGCACTTGGGAGGCAGAGGCAGGTAGTTCTCTGTGAGTTTGAGGTTAGCCTGGTTTACAGAGTTAGTTTCAGGATACCTAAGAGGATACCTAAGGCTGTTATACAGAGAAACCCTGTTTCAAAAAAAAAAAAAAAAAAACTTAAAGAACTTGTCTAAAATGTTTCCAAAATGAATGCAAACAATAAAAGTGAAAAAGATGTACTACCCAAGAAGTCTTGGACTACAAAGGTATAGCATACTAGTGTGAAATGCTGTCCTCTGAGAACAACCATCGCCATTTTAACCGGAGCAGCTTACCCTAAGAGCCATTGGATGGCTGTTCGCATCTCTCCAGGGAATGAAGTGGTGGAAAGAGTCCTGAGAGCCTCAGCTCTCACCTGAGAGTCTGGCCACGCCCTCCTGTGCCTCCCTCCTAGCTGCATGAATTCTGCAACAGCTGTTGCGCGTGGTCTTTGGAGAGGACAGTATAGAACATAGGAGGTTAACTGAAAAGAGACTCCCTCTACATAGCTGTGGAGGAGCTGTCATTCACGCCAGGATGAGTCTTTTTTGTGACGTGCTGTTCGGGGGGTCAATCCTGTAAGTAAAAATCCACCAATTCACCAAACTAGACTCGGATAGAATTATTACTTTGGTCTGTAATTGCTGTCCTATTTGGGATAAAGAGATGCTGTTTCATCTCCCCAGGAAAAGTTCATGCAGCACATACACACAGAGACCAGAGGATGCGGGGTTTCATGCAGCACACACACACAGAGACCAGAGGATGCGGGGTTTCATGCAGCACATATACACAGAGACCAGAGGATGCGGGGTTTCATGCAGCACATACACACAG